TTTTTGTTACTAACTTCTATCTTAACTCCTAATACCCAATACTTTTTTTCAAACTTAACTCTGCTTATTGATAATATTTTAATAAAGTTCTTTAAATAAATTTGTACACCACCTGTCGATCGGCTTGAACTGTCTAGTCTCACCAATCTATATCCATCTATACTGACTTCATCATCTTCAATTTCTTCAGTCAAATGTGTTTCAGATAAAAAAATAATTTTAGGATCCAAGTCCAGAACTAGGGCATGGATCTGATCAAAATTAGCAATTGTACTACTTGAATTAAGATACAGATCACATTCTGTATCCTTACTCTTAATATTCTTACCCTTACTCCGCGACAGCCTTTCATTGCTGCATCGTTTATTAAACCTATCTATAAAAAAGCCCGCTCAGACTGCTGATCGGCCCCACAAGTAGTCAAATTTATAGTTACTTCAGGTTCTTCATTATTAAACTCTATAAATTTCAAATTTGTATTCCTATGAAGACCAAAATTATCTATTCCTTCTTTTATTCTACTTGAAAATCTATCAAGACCATATCTACTCAGATATATTCCCTGCTCAGTGAAATCGCCAACGAGATAATCACTGGAGTGATCTACTAATATGTCTATATTGGCAGAATATTGTTTCAATCGTTCCGCTACGTACTGGATTTTTTTGTTTATATGAGACAAAATATTTACTTTACTTGATAGATCGCTTTTTAACGGAATAGAGCATAAAAGTAAATTGGTTTGAAAGCATTTATTTGCAAGCACGACGTAATCTTAAGTGCAACTGTGGATTTTGTTGATTTCATCTCTAGGGCTTTAGATAAGAGTCAGCTTGTGGTGGCAGTCTTTATTGACTTAAGGAAAGCATTTGATGTTGTAGATATTAATTTGTTATTGGAAAAGCTAAGTAATATGGGTTTCAGGGGAGCTATACATGGTTTAATAGAAACATATCTTATTAATCGTCAACAATATGTCAAACTAGAAAAATATAGTAGTGAATTTTTGATTAGCAGAAGTGGAGTGCCTCAGGGATCTGTACTAGGTCCCCTGTTGTACTCCCTCTATGTCTTAAGCTTAAAATACTCTAGGGTAAATGCCAGATATTTTACCTTTGCCGACGATACGGTATTGGTTTATACTGGGAGTGACGAAAATAATTTATGCTTTGAAGTTAATGCTGATTTAAAGAAATATATGCACTGGCTGTACTGTAACAAATTAAAAATTAATGGTGATAAGACAAAATATATAATATTTAAGCAAAAAAATAAAATAACCGAAAACATATCTATTCAAATAAACAATGTTTCTATTGAACAGGTTACCCATATCAAATATCTTGGTTTGGTTGTAGATGATAAACTTACTTGGTCAATGCATATAAACTACATGCGCGAAAAAATTCTTCCAATTATACCTGCATTATTTAAGCACCGACACTATCTAACAAAAAAATCTAAATATAATGTTTATAATGCTTTCGTTCTGCCTCACTTACGATATCTTATTCCCGTGTGGGGATCTAGTGCCCAGTGTCATATTACTGAGATTATGACATTGCAAAATACGGTTGTGAAAATTTTATTCAATTTTGACAGACTCACAAATTCAGCTATATTATATGAAGAGCTAAACATAAGTCCGATAATTAAAATATATGAATTCGAGCAGGATAAACTTATGCATAAAATATTAAAACAAAGTCAGAAGAGCAATATTAATATTATTTTATCGAATGATGTACACCACTATAATACCAGAACCAACTGTGATATTTACCAAATTGTAACTAAAACTAATATAGGTCTCAATAATCCAATAGTCCGAGCTTCCAAATCTTATAATAAGGTACCTGGAGAAATTAAAAATGTAAGAAATTTCAATACATTTGTAAAAAAGCTTAAGCAACACTTAGACATAAGGTAAACAAAAACTGAGATTATTTTCTCAAGACCAGTGCTTACAGGCACTGTTTAGAGAAATTGTATTATTGTTATTGTAATGAATGATTTAAGAAATAAACGATTTTCAAAAAAAAAAAAAAATCTCTGCATCTTACATCCAGATTGTTCACACCCGCTACCAGAATTACATAATCAGCACTTGTCAAATCTTTAATATAGCATTCGGCACTAGCAACAACATCCGTTAATCTTGCAAATGGCTTAGAAACTATCTGAATTACAAACCTATTCCCCAAAACTCTGTTCAAGTATTCCCACAAATATTTACCAAAATCATCTGTCAAAACAACTAACTTATTTTTCTTTATACTAGGCAAACTACGATTCTTATTTTCTACAACTATCTTCTTATTTTTCTTATTACTAGGACCACTATCATTCTCATTTTCCACTATAACTATCTCATCTTTCCTACTACTAGAACCGCTATTATTCCTATTTTTGACACCTACAGAGTTCCGCAATTCTTCTTTCATTTCATTTATCTGTTGGCGCATATCATATAACTCTTTTTCATAAATTGCATTGTCAGTTTCAAATATCCGGATTGTGTTTACTAACTCTCTATTGATTGTATTCTGATCTTCCACTTCCTTCCTCTTTATTTCAATATCTTCCTCATAGTTCCTTAACTTTTTCTCATGTCCATTACAATTTAATTCTAATATATGCATTTGTTTTTTTTATACTCTCAATGGTCTCACTTTTATCCACAATTTCCCTCCTTAAACGTTCAGCCTCTTCCACTCTAATCACATTTGACACATTATCGTTAAGTTGATCTTTTCCCACATGAGTCTCCTTATTCTTCATTTTCTCTTCCCTGTCCCTGGCGTCCCTCTGCATGTTTATCTTATTACTTTGATTTTTATTCTTTAAAACATCTAACTTCCTCTCACATTCTTTAAATTTTATTTTCAAATCCTGATATTTCTTTAAAAGTTCCTCATATCTTCGCTGTTCCTTCTTCTGACTAGCCAGTTCCCTTTCCATCCTCTGGATTGTTTCAGTGAGTTCGTCGGACTTTTCTTGTTCAGCTTTAAAATCTTGTCTTATTTGCTGTAGCTTCACCTCTAGGTCGTTAATAATATTATTTTGTTGTTTTATTCTTTCCTCCGCGGACTCTTCTGCTGCAAATACGTCATCCTGGAAATCAATAGTCTTCCTTCTTAGCCTCTTGATCATCTCTTCTTTGCCTTCAATGACTTGTATTAATTCATCGATCCTCTTTCCCTGGGTTACTCTGGTCTCTTCATTGTAATTTTCCATTGAAATCAAAAGCTCGTTCAATTGCTTATTTTTCTGGAATAGCTCTTCTGTCTTTTCCTGACTCATGCACATGTTTCTGAAAGTTTCCTTACATCCATTGCAATAAAAAAGCAAACTTCTCTCTGTCAAAGCGAGAGTGTGAGCTTCAGTGGTTTTCAATTCTGCACAAACCTTACAAAATATTAATTTGCATGAATCACAGGGCGAGCCAAATAGTTCATCTTCAGTTGGACGTGCCTTCAAAATGCACTTTTTAAAACATTGAGTGCAGGTGAGGTCTTCCATATTTCTAAAGCGCCCAGTTAGGCGTTGCTAAAACTCCATATCCCATTTATTCAGTCCCAATTTGTTTTCTCTTTGAAAGTAAACAAACCAAATTCTTTAAATTCCTTAATTTGAATTTTGGTACTGATAAGGATTTGAGGGCAGTGTTTATTATGGGTACAAAAAAACTATATTATTATTACTGTTGTAGTCAATACAGTAAACACCATGATTTTGTGGTCTTTTCAAATATAAAAAAAGTTTTTACTGTTTTTGTGTTAATGAGTAGAAGCAGCTTACATTTTTCTAAACACAATGACATCAACACAAAAAAAAAAAAAAAATTTACTTTACTTTATGAAATTATTATTCAGTGAAGGAGCGACAAACGCGTGCATGATGAGAACTTGTTTTCTTCAATAATAAGAAAGTTATTGAGTGTTCCAGTTATAAACAAACACCGCAGAAAGGTGGAAAGATTTTTCTAGACATTGTGATGGACTCATTTTCCAAGACTGAGCAAAAAGCACAGGGAACTAATATTTTGACAATATTCCTCCTGTCATCATTTCTCTTGGAAAATTATCAGATTCGGATACAACCTCTTCTGAATCCGAAGAGGAATCAGATTCTGTCGGGGAAATTATGGAAGCTCAATCAATACAAAAAAAGATACTGCAAAAACTTACTGGACAGACTTTGGGCACAGAATACTATGGGAGAGAATCTAACTAATATGCTAACTAGCCCACTTGAAATACTTACTAACTGACTCGAAAAATAATTGGACATATTTAATTAATAATAATTAATACTGAATTCAAACCCTAGCCAAAACCTGTAAATTAAAAATTGATTTATATAGCTCACATAATTATTATACGGGGGTCGGTCTCTGCAATTTCCATGGCTAAGTTGATGCCAATAATTCTTGAACAGCATATATATTAATTTTATACAGGGTTGCCGTCGTAATGTATGGAAACACCCTAATATTTCGGAACGTGCTTAAGAAAAATGCAAAAATGTACAAAATATACACACAACAAAAAAAGTTTTGCACCGCGCTGTAACTACAGAATACTCATTGACAAATAAAAATATTGTTATCTTCAACTATGAAATTATGAAATGTGTCCAGTACATTTACTAAAAAAGGTTTAGGAATCTGAGATTGTTTACTACCTTTCTATTGATAATTTTTTAATTTAGATGTCTCTGAATATATAAAATGAGATGAGATGGTGCAATACTTTTTCTGTTGTGTATATTTGGTGGTATTTACAATGTTGCCAAGTTTACCTTATATTATAGTATTTTTATCACCCATTTGGAATAACCCCATCCTTGTTTATCAATCAAGAATAAGATAAAACAAAAAAATTACCAACCAATCACTAATCTCGAAAACGACTGGTAAACGACTGGTACTTCCAAATAGATATTAAAAATACTATTCTACTATACTATTCTTTATTTTTATTTATGTTTTTTGTTAGGATTGCAATGTCCTGTTTGTTTGAAGGAATATTGCAAAGGTGAAACTGTAAAAAAGATGCCCTGTAAGCACACATTTCATCCGGAATGCATCCTTCCTTGGCTCTCAAAAGTAAGGAATTATTTTTAAAGATAATTTTATCTATTTTCAATGATTTTTTTTTTAGACAAATTCTTGTCCCTTGTGCCGTGATGAACTTCCCACAGACGATGAAGACTATGAAGAGGAAAAAAAGGAAAAGAAAAGGGCTGTAGAAAGGGTGGCGGATATAGAAAATTTACATAATAGTATGTTTTCATAATAACATGTTTATAAAATTCATTAACAGATTAGAAATCTGTTCTTATTTGATTCCTGAAAGTTTAGTTTATATTTTATATAGTTTATTTTATCTAATGTGTAGGTTACTATATTGGAACGGAGATTTACATTTATACCTAAATAATTTCTTACATTTGTATTTTGCAACAAATCCCTTTAGTATTTGTTATATTTGTATATTTTTCACTGTAATTATTGAATAAATAAATCATTTGAAAAAAGCCACCGCAAAGCACTACACAAAAATAATGAAAAAATATATGCTTCTACTCAAATCAAATAGTTTAGGCTGGTCCGAGGGGTCGACACCTCCTGACATTAGGTGTACAAATCAGTTCACAGTACCTACAATACCTAAACAATACGGTCATAGGTCTGTAAAAATACCATGTATTTTCATAGCAATTGTCACAATACCTAAAATGACTTACAATACTTTCAAAATAGCTCTACAGTAATGACAATAGAGAGTTATTGAAACTAATAAATACTGCCTCGCAGTATTAAGGATCTACGTTATTTTATTAGTGCATCAGCACTATATTTACAAGAAAAAAACAGTTATTGGAAGACTGAAGTAGGTGCTAGAGTATTACCTTATTTTGTATTCATAATTTTGACAGCTGATAGCTATGTTTATAAATTTCAACCTCAAAAAGTGTTTATTTTTTTGTTTGTGATTTTCTGCCGATACCCATTTTTCGATGCTACCCACAGTAAAATGGAAAACTACTGTAAAAAATAAGTTTTTCAAGTAAAATTACGTCACCGTTGAAAAGCGAAACGTCAAAGTCGTCCAAAATGTCAGAAATTTAAAATAAGGGAAATTTACTGCCTCGCACTAACCATACACAAATAAAGACAAGCAGTAACCTTATTAAGGGAATCCTTATTTTCAGACCCAAATGCGCATGCGTAAATGTCAAAATAAGGCTAATTTAAATACTGCTTGTCCTTATCGCACGTCCAATAACTCTCTAATGTCAAAATAAGAACGTTTATATTAGTGACCGTCACTATTTGAAGGTGCCATAATTAGAGAGTTATTGGTCGTGCAATAAGGACAAGCAGTATTTAAATTAGCCTTAATTTGACATCTACGCATGCGCATTTGGGTCTGAAAATAAAGATTCCCTTAATAAGGTTACTGTTTGTCTTTATTTGTGTATGGTTAGTGCGAAGCAGTAAACTTCCCTTATTTCAATACTTATGACATTTTTTACGAACTTGACGTTTCGCTTTTCGACGATGATTAATTTTGCTCAGAGAATTTGTTTTTTACAATAGTTTTTCCTTTTACTGTGGGTAACATCAAAAAATGGGTATCAGCAGAAATTCACATACAAAAATAAACAGTTATGAATACAAAATAAGGTAATACTCTAACACTTACGTCACAATAGCTCGAGCTGTCGTACCGGACGGTCGTGTTCGGCAGCTCCGAGAGTTTTGCAAATTTGTTTTGTTTTGATTTGTTTTGAATTGATTTGTTTTGTTTTGCATCACATCGTTGTGTTCGTTTTCGTTGTGCGTGTATTTTGTAAACTTGGCCTAATTGCCTTGCCATTGATCTAGTTCTTCAAAGTTAAAGTTCAATGCAATTTGTGTTTGTTTATGTTGCATTTACAGAAACTTTAGAGAATAAAAATTAAAATGGAGAGGTTTTGTTCAAAATGTTTTAAAAGTTGCGTACATAAGGCCCGTCCAGCTGAAAATGAATTATTTGGAGCAACATGTGACTCTTGTAAGTTACTTTATTGTAAAAGTTGTGCAGAACTTAAGACAACTGAAGCTCACACATTAGCCCTCAGTGAAAGAGTTTTATTATTTTACTGTCAATCTTGTAAAGATGAATTTAGAAATATGTGTTTTAATGAAGAAAAATTGGAGAAGTTATTTAACGAAAACAAAAGACTAAATGAAGTAATAGAGCTCTTGGAGAGTGAACATGAAGATTCCGTCGCAGAACTAAAAAGGCAGATTACTGAGTTGAATGAAGTTATTATTGCGAAAGATGATATTCTGCAACGAGAGAGAAGGAAAACCATAGACTTTCAGGACGATGTTTTTTCTGTTGAAAATTCACTGGAAGAAAAAATCAAGAGTCAAGAAAAAATTATTAGAACTTTAGAAAGGGAAATTGATGGCACAAAGAAAGATATTACCATAGATCAAAAGAAATATGAAGAAGTTCTAGTGAAAAATAAAAGTCTAGATAAAAAAATCGAAAAGATCAAGCTATCTAGTAAATCTGCCACCAAACGTATGGATGAACTGATACAGAGGAACAAGAATTTGCAGCAGATAATAGTGGAGGAAGATGAGAAACGTGATAAACTGGTAAAAGAGCTAGATGATTTGAAGTCAATGAAAAATCAAATGTTAACAACAATTAGTACACTTGAGAATGATAATGATGTATATGCTAGTGAGAATAAAAAGATCAACAAAGAATTATTCCAGTTCAAGCAGCGTAAAGTTTCGAAAAAGGATTATCAAAAAAGTCAATCAGATGGTAATATTGCTGACATAAGTGCTATAAACTCGCTTGTTAATTCAAGAAAGGTTAAAAATTCTAAGAATAAGATTGTTATTTTAACTGATGACTTTGGAAGAATGTTATATGATGCTATAGACAAATCAGTGGGCGACAACTATGTAACTCAGCTGGTGACAAAACCTTATACTACAATAAGGGATATTATACATAGTTCCGACTGTTATGTGAAGGATTTGACCGATAAGGACTATGTTGTTTTAATAGCAGGACTTAACGACACTGATATCCGAAAAGATGACATAGTATTGCTGTCAAATAAGTGTTTTAGAACGAATTTGTTAGTCTGCAACCTCCCATATAAAAATAACTATGGCAAGAAATGTTTGTATGTTAGGAATGTAAATCAAAAACTTAGGGAAGTTGTTCAAAAACTACAAATTTTCTCTATTAACATAGGTTTTTTGGATTTGGTTGGTAATTTTTCTCATGGAGATTTTTGTATGAATTCTAACTTTTATTTAAATAAGTAAGTACGGATTGTTTAAGACTGGAAAATTGATAAAACAGTGTGTTCAGAACTTTAATGTAAAAAGCGTAACAAATCTTAAATATGTCCCAATAGATGATAATATCTTTAGTATTAATGACGACACTAGTTCAAAGGGTAATAATTTTCCAGAGGTAAATTTTTTAGACCAACCTCTTCCACAAACTGCGCAAGCGCGGCACAAAACATAAAAAATAATAACGCCGCCGTCTCCGTATTTCTAATTAATATACAATCGCTAAGGAACAAACTTGATGATTTATATCTGCTGTTGGAAGATAACAATTTTCCAGCTTTCTTACTTATAACTGAGCACTGGCTAGCAGAAAATGAACCATTTTGTATTGAAAATTATACTGTGGTGTCTCTCTATTGTAGAAATAGTAAAACTCATGGTGGAACTGCTATTCTTGTCAATAAGACATTTTTACAATCTTTTGATGTTACCCCCATAACAAAGTTTAATACCCTTTTAATTGAAAATGTTTTTGAATTCTTGTTATATAACAAAAAAAATAATTTACATATTTTGTGTATATACAGGCCCCCCTATTATTCAAACTTAAAGCAATACTTTGAAAATCTTGAAATTCTTTTATCAAAACTGCCACCCAAGGCAGGTTTGATACTAGGGGGAGACCTTAATATAAATTTTGATGATGACAGATCAGAGGCACAGCAAACTCTGTCTAACTTGTTTTTATCATTTGACCTAGAGATGTATGTTAACGAACCTACTAGAATAACTGTTCATTCTCGAACCAAAATCGATTATCTGTGTTCAAATTTTGTCTTAAAGCAAATGTTTGTTAGCTGTAGTGTAATTCCTGTAGGCATTTCGGATCACGAGGCAGTTTTAGCAAAATTTCAACTTGCGATAAATAAACCACCAAAATATAAAGTTGGTAGACTACTTAGCAGCAACAATTATAAAAAATTTAAAGATATTTGCAAGGAATTAAATTGGCCAGCAGTTTTGAATTGTCAATCACCACTAAACGAATACCAAAAATTAATAACTGATGCATTTTTAAAATCTTTTCCATTACAAAAAATTAAGCAAAAGAAAAGTAAACTTTGGATTACTCCCGCTATTAAAGTTTCATCAAAAAACATGCGTTCGTTACAAAATATTCGCAAATTTACTGATTGTCCTCAGTTCATAAGTTATTTCTGCAGATATAGAAAAATTTACAAAAGTGTTTTAAAAGCAGCTAAAGAAAAGTTTTATCAGAATAGAATAAACTCCTCCAAAAATGCCAGCAAAGAAAACTGGAAAATAATTAATCAGTTAACTGGTAAAAACTCAGTTCTTCAAACAGATGTTAAATTAGATCCCCATATTCTCAACAACTTCTACTGTAGTGTTGCTGATACTTTACAACAAAACTTGAAAAGTAATGTGGATCCTGGTTCTTATTTATTGGATGTTAAAATAAATGACACATTTGTACTGGAAACTACAAACGTATTAGAACTTAATGAAATCTTTAGAGGAATAAAAAACAATAAATCCAGTGGGCACGATAATGTTTCATTAAATTTGCTTAGAAACTTGCCTGATAATGCATTATATGTCTTGTCTGAATGTATTAATATTTCATTTTTAACAGGAGTATTTCCAGACTGCCTGAAAAAAGCTATTGTGTTGCCTGTTTATAAGGGTGGCGATTTGGACAACCCATGTAATTATCGACCAATATCACTTCTCTCGACGTTGTCAAAAATAGTTGAAAAGTTAGTTAAAGAAAGAATGTTGAAATATTTTTCAAAACACAACATAATAAGTGACACTCAATTTGGATTCCAACCATTAAAGGGCACCCATGATGCAATGTTTAATCTTTTGGAACAGGTATTCGTCAGTCTTAATGAAAGTGAGCTTGTCTCCGTTGTGTTTTGTGATTTCTCTAAAGCCTTTGATTGCGTAAATCATAAAATAATGCTTAAAAAACTAGAAATTTATGGCTTCGGAGGAATCTCATACTCATGGTTTGAATCTTATTTCTCGGGAAGAGAACAATTTGTTAAGATTGGTGATACTCAGTCATCAAACTTGGCTGTGACCAATGGTGTCCCACAAGGATCTGTGTTGGGACCAATATTGTTTTTACTTTATTTAAATGATATTAATCACCTCCCCATTAGAGCTAAAATAACATCATTCGCT